CAAAAGGACGTGAACACAACAAAATGGTGCTGTAAACGTAAAGACCAAGCCTGGCCAGGCTCCACGGAGGCAGGGGCCACCAAAACGGGCTTCAAAAATCTTGAATGGCGATTGTCGCCCGAATTTTTGTATTTTTTATGCAGTACATTTTGGCTCATGTAGAAGGCAGCGAGGGAAATATTTATTACTGTCACAGCAAGTTCTTTTGCTCTTCTGGCACTAGCCCTTGGAGGGGGGGCGGGGACGGGAAGCTAACCTTTCCAAATCTGCTGTCCTTTTGAACATTTAGCCTCATCTTTGTACAGATCTGGGATTTCCAATCGGAGATATTTGTTGTGGGGAAGAGGAAGTATGGTGTCCTAGGGGGCCTAGGCCCTACCCAAACAATGCCAGGGTCGGCATCGCTGGATGGGCTCGCTCCTGGAGAACAGTCAGGTTAAGACCCAAGAGTAGTGACCCGAGGCAACATCCAGCAAATTGGATGCAGGCAACCAATTGGATGCGTTGACACATCCTTTCCTGCTTGCAACCAGAGACCTCAAGAATCGCCGAGCACGTGTGTGGATGCAGTTGGCAGCCCCGTACAGTTACGGTTAAGCCTTGGCATGAACTTGTTCGTGGGCCGCTAATGTGCGCCCTGCGACGTGGCTCCTGTGGCTTGCCAAAGTCTGCAGACTCAATGGACTGAAGAAACTCTCGGATGGCTGATCTGTGGCGTTGGGGGCCCTGTGCACTGTCGCAGTAGTTGAAAACTCTGGTCTCAGGATTTGCCCAACTCAGAGGGGAGCGATGCCGCGATCAAATCTGCCAAGCCGTAGCGTACCAGAACAGAAGCGATGATCGTCGCGGGTGGACACTGTGGAATGCTGGAGAATGACTTGCAGAAATTGTGTTATCAGCCTCTAGTAGAAAACAGGCCAGATGGCACAGTCCTGACACGGTCTGCTCAAAATCCAACCGTGTACTTTCGGCAAATGTGGTCCCGAAAATACACATTTATTACACATATTGACACAGTTTTGACCGTGCATCCCAGGAAACCGCGTAGTCTACACAGTTTTTTGAGGGTACTGAAACTGTGTCAATGTGTGTACTAACTGTGTACTTTTGGGACCACATTTATGGAAAAATACACAGTTGGATTTTGAGCAGACCGTGTCAGGACTGTGTCATCTGGCCTGTTTTTACCTAGTGAGCTGACACGGGAGCCAGAACCTCGTAGAAGTGCCGGTGCGGCGTGCATTCTCTTCTGCAACCACGCCAGGAAGAATGGCAGATGCATGTATCATGTTCGAGAATCCCAAGAATACGAAGATGGGGTACAATTCAGATCTCGTTCGGTGTCGCCACCAATGTCGCATTCAGTATGTGCCCCTTTGCAGATTCCGAGGGCGCCACGAAATATGTGTTCAAAATAGATAGTCCGAAATATGCCACGCAGTCCGAAATATGCGTCACTGCAGTGACTCGTCATTACAACGACACCTAGAGCAGTCGCGAAAGTAAGGATAGCTGGTAGTACAGAGAGGAAATGTATTTCCGGTGGAAATCCAGTGGAAATCCAGCGGAAATCCAGTGAAAATCCAGTGGAAATCCAGTGGAAATCCAGTGGTGATCCAGTGGAAATTTTCCACTCTACAGGGGGCATGGCGGACTCTAGGCATGAGACTTCTCCTGGAGGCATCCTTATCATGGAGAAGCGCCTTGCGAGAGAAACGCGCCGACCACGGCAATTGCCGACGGATGACCAAAGTTGCTGGATGTCCACAGTCCATCATGTGCACACCGATCTGCACATGCTGGACTGAGGATATCCAGGACTCTATATCGATGTTTGACGTTACGATGCAGCCGAGTACGAATGGCTTTTCGAACTTTCAATCCGGTGGCACAACATACACCTGAGCGGCATTTGCCGGTCTGATGAATGAAGACTGGTCTGGGATGCGGAAGATGCCGAGAAGCATGCACTCATCCAGACACAGTTTGAAAGCAATGGGAGATTTGGGAAATTTGGTACCACCTTCAGAGATGGTAACAGGAAGCGTTGGAGCAAAAGATTCGGGGAGGGCATTGGCCACCTGATCAGTCACTGCAGCAGCTGGGGACGCTGAAAATATTTTTTGGAATTTGAGATTAGACAGGGTTTGGCTCACTGTGTGAACCCTGGATCTAATGGTGTGATCACACCAAACTTTATGAGGTCTGTTGGCGCCGGCAGTGGACTACCAAAGTGCAATGACATTGTGTCTCAAAATAAATGCAGAAAATATTGCTTCGGGGAATCTAATGCGACAAAGTAATAGACATTTACAATATCTCATGTTGTAGCCTTTTCTCGAAAGATACCTGACAACCGGCCTCTGTTGAGCTTTGTTTGGTGTAATGTCGACAATTGGGAAACCCAGTCCCATCGGAGTCCGCTGTTCCGCCATGCCATTTTGCTGCCGGCACCTAGGGCCAAGTTCTGGCACGACGGTTGGCTGTCTCGCCAGTGAGACCAGCCAGCCATGGGCGCTGCCCTGCACAGTACAATTCTTCCATATCGGTCTGCCAGCACTCCTGGTCGTTGGGATGCACAGGATGAAACATCATGGACACCCAAGGGGCATGCGTGTTGCGCCCGCTCATCCATATTTCCTCAGCGCATTTCCTGTTTGCTTTCAACGCATTCAAACGTTCAACAATTTTTCACAGTCAGTGCCCCATTCTGAAAGCCTGGGCGGCATATGCACGTGGACAACTGCCCGAAACTCCTGTATATAATATACTCTATATATACTCCTGTATAAATTCCTGTATAAGAAGTCGCAAATGTGACAACTGTCGTGCGAAATCTCCGATGGCCTCTGTTGTTCTTTCGAGTTAACGCGGTCATCTGCTGAGGCTCTGAATCGTCGGGTCGAAGTGCATGTCAAGGTCCAGTGCGGTAGCAGGCAATGATTCAGGAACATTGCCTCGACAGTCAAGGCTGGAGGCTATTCAACATATTGGTGTCTCATTGGACACTATTTTCTGAGCAACGACTGAAGAAACAGCAGGTCTTCCTTTTAGTCCGCACTCGTTTAGCGTCACAAGACACGGCGTGTCAATGTCGCGCAATGTCGCTCAGCATACCCCTTGGATCAACGCTGGAGACCCTTCGCGCCGTTGGCTTGGCGCTTGAAGTCCGCTTGAACCGTTATTCTCATGGAAAAAGGATACAAATCCATGCACTCAAAAGTTCTCTGTTGGACTGGGCCAGGCTGCAGCATTTCCGCGACCGATTAATCCTTGACTGAAAACTGTATGTTTCGGCTCAATGCCACAAGGTCCTTCAAAGCCAGTTTTTGCCACAGAAACCGTTCCGCATGAGGTATGAAGTCCACAGGTGGACCTCTCCACCCGCGTTCCCCGATCAGGCAGCGACCATGACGTCCCAGAGGCACCGCCACTTTGCTCAGTTCGATTTGGTGAGTTGAGTGTGTCGTGGGGTGGGAATCAGTCGGAATTATCCCAAGGCAGCACAGGAAAGCGGCTTCTGTCGTTGTGAGAGACTCCAGGCGTGGTTGGCTGGGTTGTTCCGGAAGATCGCCTCGATTTTTGCCATGACAACTCGCCACACGACAACTTTGGAGTCGCTCGTTCCTCATCGGGTGGGTGGGGATAGATTTTGGACAGCGTGTTGGAACAATGATTTGTGGTTGGCACGTAAGTTGCATTGGCATGCACCTTGGGAACATGCTGAAACATGAAAACATGCCTTGGACCTCATACAAGGACCGTGAGCCGAAACGGCTCGTGGGGAACGCCGACAGGCGAGCAGCCATTCGTGATGCACACCGAGTGTTCACATCAATTACAAACGCCAGTGGTACACGTGCGCAGTGCCGTCAACTCAACTCCAAGAGCCAACAATGGCACGGGCCCCTTCTGCTCACCCCTCCCCTCGTTCTCCTTATCCTCAAGACAGCGAAATACCCCATCCCAACCCCTTCCCCGTCGTCGTTCCTGTCATGCCGTCGACGCCGTCAATCGTAAGCATTCCCAACGGCTCATCAGCACAGCGTTCTGGGCCGCTGCCTGCCAGTCCTGCCCAAGCTGGGTTCAGGGCCGATCCCACACCCACGGGCATCCCGAATCCAGTCTGGAGTGACCACCCCCCTCCGCTGGGGCCAGCGCCACTACTAGTCATGTTCAATAGGACACTCTGACTCCGCCCTTGCACAAACCCAGGCCCGAACTGTAGGGCACAAGTGGCAACCCCTGCGCTATCCCCTCCCACTCCCTTTAAGGGGACACGCTGTGTGCACACACGCTTCACCCCAGCATAATGGAAACAAAAGAGTTCTCCTGCTCATTCCTTTGCTTGAAACAAAATCTGCATTCTCTCCCCCTATTTGCCCGCCTCAAAATTTGACAATAAAACATGCGTACTTCACACCCACTGTTCTCTTCTCGTCACATGATAGATAATTCGCTGGGAGGCCCTGCCACGTCAAGAAGATCCCAACAGTACTGCCCGCCAGCGAGGCAATGCTGTTTCTGTCTTGGTGGACGGTTGCCAATACAACAGAACCTGGTTCTTTGCAGTGGACCACAACTTGTCACATTCACTGGCCAAATACTTACGGGCTGTGAGAACACAAGTATCAGTAGGCACGTGCCACAAAGGCCGCAACATTCACCTCTGTAGTTATCCCCAAAATAGGAAAAATGCACTTCACTATGAAGCCCACACGTTGCCCCAATGTTTGGTTGTTTGAAGAGGTGATACTTAAGTAGCACGAACCCCGTGGGGTAGTTTTGACCCACAACTTCCAATCCCAATTCCTCAGTCAGCACGTTCGAACTGCTTTAATTTCTCCATGTTTCGACACCCAGACGCCCACAGCCCCGTTGAGGGTCGCCCGAATGATCCATACCATTCCAAAAAGGCCAAAGCTGGGTTTTCCTCTCGGCCCTGCAGCCAAACCTCAACCAAGGAAAAACTCGGAATCCAAAACGCAAACCAATTCTTCTCAAGCCTTCTGTTCGATGGACTGCACCACGACGTGTGCAGCACCTGGGATGTCGGGCACGGGGGCCTCCCCATCGGCTGGGGCCACTCCAGAGCTCTTCACCTCAATGAAGGTGGTCTCATCCGTGTCCGACGCTGTGCTCTGTGAGGAGTGCTCAGACTGCGGAGCGGTGCTCTCCATCTTTCCGGCATCTTCGACAGGGGCGTACCTGCTCGTCACAAATTGGTCATCATCACAATTGCCGCCATGCTACAAAGGCAACAGATAAGTTTACAGTGGTGGACAGGATTGAATCGACACTGTGTTCGAAGATGTTGATTCGCTGCACCTCAGTCAGACAACACCGACAAATTAAAAAATTTAAGAAACGAATCCGTATCCCCAGGAAAGCAAAGAAGAAAAGAACAAACCCTAGTCCCACCTGCTCGGCTCCACGTCCGTGTCTGTCCCAGTGCCACCGCTCGAGTTGCTGCCAGCATCTGAAGAGTCCTGATCCTTAGACGTGGCCATCAAGCTCTGCGGAATGAACTCCTTGGCGTCTGGTCGCAGAGCAAAGCTCTTCACGCGACGATCGTTGGATGGGACCCCCTGAGGCGGGCCCATCGGGTACCCCATCCACTGGCCAGGCACCATCGGCATAAACGGTGGCACCATCGCCCCACCTGGTGGCATCATGTGTGGCGGGTAGAAGTACACTGGTGGAATGTTTGGCCGAGGGCCCGCAGGGCCGCCCTGGGGTGGCACCGGACTCTGTGGTGAGTCGCCAGCTGGCTGAGCCGAGTCTGAAGCAGGGCTCGATGGAGGAGATGCTGGGCTTGACGTGGGTGTGCTGGACGGTGGGCGCATGTAAGGTGGCACCATCATTGGCACCATGGGTCTCATTGGGGGACCTATGGGCCGCATGTGTGAGTACATGCCTGGGTGCATGCCAGGCATGGGGCCCATTGGTCCGCACATGGGCATCCCAAAGGGCACAGGCCCCATGGGCGTCATCATCATATGGGGCCCAGGACTTGTATGCCTGGTTGTGGGTGATGCCTGCTTAGGGACATCCTCGTCCACCAGCGCAACTTCCTGGGCACACTCCCCAGCTCCGGGCAGGGCGGTTTCGTCAACGCCTGACACGGACCTAACCATCTCAAAGAACTGCACTCCGCTCCCTCTAAAGACTGGGGGCGATGGAGGCCGATCGCTGGGAGACTCAGGGCCCAATTCCTGCACCTCCTTGCTCTTGGTCTTGATCTGAGACAAGCCGTTCTGCGCTGCCCCGGAGAGTCTGCTCCGACTCGACCCCTCGCTCTCAGACCTGATGCTTGGGGCGCCCACTTCAGTGGCATCGGGTGTGTCTGGGGAACTGACACTGCCGGCCTTGCTGGATTCGCTGCTCTCCCCCTGCGACACTTCTGCACATTCTGTCTCCTTCTTTGCTGACAAGCCCATCACCTCCGGGGGGATGGCCCCCTTCACCCATGCTTGCCGGCGAACAGTGCTGGAAGTGGTGGCCACATCTTTGCCCACCACATCAGTGTTGCCAATGGCAGGCGTCTGCGCAGCTGCCTGTTGAACTGCAAGGCTGCTCTTTTGCTCAGCAGCCTGTTGGTTCTGACCCACTGCTGAAGGCTGACTCCCTTTTGCCAAGTTTGCAGTGGGGGCAGTGATGCCTGTCACAGGGAGGCTCCTTGAACAGTTTGGAGGCACAGGTGGGGTGCCCACCTGTGCATTGCTGAAAGCACCTGATGCCTGCCGGTTTATTCTTGCACTGCCCGGCTGCCGAAGGGGACGTGGCGTGAGCCTGGAGCCCTGCCGTTCAGCCGAACTGCCATCCTTGCTTGACGAGGGCCTCTTCCGGTTCATAGAGTCCAGTTCAGCAGCCGATTTGTGCCGCCTGTGCATGCCGCCCTCTCTCTGATCATGCCAGTCTGGGCCGCTTCCCCAACGAGGCAAGCCACCACTGGGCGCACGCCTGTGGAAGCCATGCTGCTGCTGGCGCCGCTCCTGTGCCCGCCGCCGCACGCTCTGGAAATTGTCATCGCTGGAGTCTGCAGCCTCCTGTGGCTGGCTGGGAGAAGGTGCATCATCCAGCGGGGCGGTCTCCGCCTCCATTCTCAACCGCCAGTACCCATTCTCCTCTTCGAGCAGCTGCTGCCGTCGTTTCTCAACCAGCTGTTCATCTTCCATTTTCTGGCGCGCAGCCTCCTCTTCCTTCCTCTGTAGTTCGGCCATAATCCGCTCCTGCTCCCTTTGGCTTCTTTCCTGGTGCTCTGCCACCTCAGCCTCCTCCTTGGCACGCTGCTCAGCCGCCCTGCGTTCTTTGGCGAGACGCAGCTTGTCTTTGAGCATCTTCTTGCGCTTCTGGGTCTTGGCGACATCTGCTGCGCTCTTCTTGATGTCTTCTTCCTGCAACACAGGTTCGACAGCAGCTATGAGCCCTTGCCCCATGCTGAGCACAGCACACACAGCAACAAGGCGGAAGGAGGAGAGCTAAGAGAAAGGTGATGCAAAACGGGGAACAGGCCAGGGAAGCGCTCTGACTGAAGAACACCTTTCTGGGAAGAAACACTGGCAAAAGTGCGCACATAATCGGCATCCCCAAAAGGCAATATTTTACATTTCGATGACATGTAATCAAATGCAAGTTGCAATATCAGCAGTTGTGGAGCTGTGAGTGTCATTGTTCTGTACCTCCATTTGAAGTATTTCTTCCTCGGCAAGGGAGGCCTTGTGGGTTGCAAATTTCATTGCCTCCTTGTCCAGGCGCTCCTGGAGCAGAGGAAGGATCAGAACGCCTCCAATGGCGGCACCTGCACAGAGCCAGTGGAAGTTTGATGTGGTTACATCGATTGCTTATCATAAGATGTTGAATCGCTGTCCCTACCCGTGTTGGTGATGTGTGGATGTGCACAACCATTCACAGCCATAGCAACCTGGAGGATGGGTCTCACCAAACCCGCAGCCTGCCTGCATACAAAGTCTCACTGTGTCCAGGAATGCTACATAATATACTGCAGTTCATCAGCGGCCAAGAGGCATTGTGGTGGCTATCTCCACTTTGATCCACAAACAGAATTCTGGCAAAACATGCAAATGTCTGATACACAGGCAGGACAAAATGTGAGCCTGCTAGTGCCTGTGTTGGTGCCAATATTGGTCCATGAACAGTCCCACAGCTTTCTTACCTACCATACTGCATAAATCAGTCTTATCTGAACAACGAGGACATGCCTAAAATCGCTGGCTATCATCTGTGCCAGGATTAGCCCATACTCCAGCAACAACTTGTCAAGGGGAGGAAGAGTTCCCCAAAGGTTACCTGGATCATCGCACGAGACGTTTATGAGGAACATCTCCAAGTGCTGCAGCACAACAGCACCATCCTCCAGTCTGCGATCGACTTGTTTCAGCTCCGCCTTTATGCGATTGAAAAACTCGCGGTCATCAGCACCACTGTACAGCTGCTTCCTGAAGTCCCTGTTGAAGGTCTGCTTCAGGGTCGCAAGAGCAGATTCGTTGCCCTTGGTGGCAGTACCCTCTGCAGGTACAGCAGCTGTACCACCTTCAGCGGACACTAGTGCAGACGTGGTGGTGGCCTCTGTACTCACAGTAGTCTCTGCAGTGGTGGAGCAATCTATGGCCGGTGTAGCCTTCTCTATGGTCGTAGAAGTTGATGCTTCTGTATTGGCATCAGCGCTGGCAGTGCCGAGGGCAGCCTCGAACTTGGAGATGAGGCGGTTGACATTGCCTTGCCAGCTCCTCAGCTGGCTGATCTCTTGCTCCCTGCATGCCCACAGCAGCTTTGTGTCGACTTTCTTTTTCTTCTGGCTTGTACGTCTGAGACTTTAAAGCCTTGTTTGGAACATGAGGAAGCAGTCAGCAAATAGGCAACATATCTGACTCTGTGAGCCATGATGAGCTCAAAACTGCACATCTGCATCATCGCAGTCTAGCCCCTGTGAGCTCTATACATAGATGCCAGAAACAAGGATGAAGAGCACCAGTGTTGCAGAACAAGGGCACAAAGACTATCAAGGCAGAAAATTTTGCTGCAGGCACCATGTCCTCCTTTCTTGGCTGGGCCACTCATCCAACGCAAACGGCTGGGCTCAAATTATCAACTGCTCATGGGCGAAGGGAAGGGGATGTTTGGCAGTATCTTTGGTAGTCTGTGTGTGAGATAATCGTTAATGAACCATACTCCATAGATATGGCAAATGAACAACTGTAGAGGTGCAAGGGTATTGCACTCGCACAACCATCAATGCACTGCTGCACCCTTTAAATGATCAGAAGCGTAGTTCAAGGAACTGCACACAGTCTCCTCAAATGGTAGATTATGCACAGTACCTCTTGGCCATCTCGATCTCAGTCCTCTGGCGCTTGTCATAGATGCCCTGCAACCTAGCGCCCTGCTCACGGAAGGCGCTCTGGACCTCAAGCTGTTCCTCCAGTAGGGAGTCTGCCAGTTGTGCACGGTGGCGCTCCTTCTCAGCAGCTGTCCTGAATGTGCCCTCGAGACCCCTGGGGGTGTTCTTTACCTCTTCAAGCTCCCGCTTCAGCCGTTCCAGCTCTGGCTCGCCCTGCAGCACCATGCCCCAAAACGACTGAGATGAGATAATCCAGCACTGTTGCATGAGACACAGCATCCAGAGAATGGCAGAACTTCAATTTAAGGAATTCAGCTTCCAGCAACACACCATGAAAGCACCTGCATAAAAGCTTGCACTCTGATTATGCAGCTTGCTGCGAGTTGCACATCGTCACTGCAGCTGCAATGGCACTGTACTGCACAGGCATTGCAGCCACATTGTGCAAAACCATGACTAGATTTGTCTATTTGACGAATCAAAGCCTTGAGACCTACACAATGATCAGTAGGGCATGAGTCTGCATGCAGGATTCTCAAAATAAGGTTGCCAATGTTAAAACGGTCCAAGGTGTATTGTATTTCCCAGGCTGCACTGCAGTTGGCTATTCTTGTAATGGCATTGTTGGAATGACTTCGGCCCCAGCATCGTCAGCATCGAGTAGATGATAGTCATTGCAGATGCACTCATCTTGTGCGCTATTTGTGTTGCACCCTTATTGCCTCTGTACAATTATCGCACATCCTCATGACATCTGTATTGGAGCCCATGGGCCAGGGAATACCTGCATCAACTCCGCCCTCAGCGTTCTCAACTGTGAGTCACCCATCATCCTCTCATACTGCAGCACATGCAGCTTGGCTCTCGTCAGCAGCTCCTCCCGTTTCAGCACCTTCAGAACAACCCCGTCCTCCAGCTCCTCTGTCTGGTCAGCCACCTTCTGCCCCGCGGGGGTGCCCGGCAACACAACTCCATGGGCAGCTTCCAGCTCTGCCGCATCACACCGGCTGTCCAGCATGCTCTTGAGCAGCTCCTTGGCCTTGCTTGCACGGGCTTCCCAGTCGCGCTGGTCCCTTAGAGCCACCAGCAGGTTCTCTTTAGCCTGCTTGATGGAGGGCTGCCAGGAGCCCAGGGGGCGCTTGGCACCATCTCGCGCCTTTTCAGCAGTCGAGACGATGGAGCCGTAGACCCACTCAAGAACAAGCCCCACCCTGGAGAGGACATCCATAAAATTTGAGGCAAGGTTGTGTTGATATAGATAAACTTTGCAGTCACATGCAACCATGCAAAAAATGAAAAGCAGTACTGATACTGAGTCAAACTGTGATCTCCAAGAACCCTAATGAACAAGCACAATATGACAATCTTGATGTCATACTACCACTCCAGGGTGCTTCCAGCCCAGTGGCCATCGACCAATGCTGTGGTTTTAGTGCTGACCTCTTGGCCCCAACAGTTACTCAATAATCGTACCTTAACACCTCAAGAAAAAGCAAACAACTACCACAATGACATCAAAGAATGCAGAATCAAGATTCTGTTCACCCTGTGAGAGGGGGACGATGCATGTAGAGATCAGATCAGCGTTGACGACCATCCTAAGGTATTGAGCGTATTGAAGTATGTAGTTTTAAACAACTGGCTGCACTGACCACGGGAAGATGTCCATAAATATCAAGGAAGATATTTGTTGATGCCGCACGTCAACTAATAGCAATCGCAGTGGATGCTCACTTGTGAGGGTCCTCTCCCTCCTTCACCCTGCGGGGCTGGCCTTCATCGCTGAGCCGTCGTTCTTGCAGGTGCTGGAGCCACTTGGGGTTCACCGTGAGGTCTTCAGAGCTCTCCGTGAGGGAAAACAGGTCAATATCGCCCACGCTCTCCTCTTCCTCGATCTACAAGAACCACACAGAGATCATCACAACAGTGTGACACGTGCATGCATGACTTGCCTAAGCTGCAATAAGGCACATCTCAACATGACCTAAATTTACCCCAGCAAGTGGTGAAATGCATCAACACAACACAGCAATATAATTGTTGCAGGTTTGCGCCATCCTGTTTGTCTCAGATGACTTCCACTCCATTGTTTTCAGGATAAGCAAGGCTTTCCACACAACCCGTCAAGGCGTGCACTGTTTTAATGCTGCCAATGCTACTATCAATCTGGCCAACACCATCAACAGCATACCTCCTCCTCCTTGGGGTCAGGCTTAAGTTTAGCGCACAGCGAGTCCACTTTCTCGGTCAGCCACTCATACAACCGTGCCACCTCCTCAGGAGGGAGCTTCTCCAAATCTTCAAAGAACAGCTCCGTGCGGCTGCTCTTCCTGTTCTTCAGTGGCAGATGGCCCACAACAAAATCTGTCACAGGTGTCAAAATGGTCTGGTACAGGCAGTGGTGCTCCTGCTGCAGGCCTTCAAGAAAAGAGATCACGAGGTCGATGTTGCCATCGCGCACAACAGTCTCTCCCTGGTCTGGGGGGTTGCGCTGGCCGCGCCGCCAAGCGTCCTGGGCGTTCTGCAGCTGGACATGGATCTGGCTCAAGAGGTTGGTCCTGCAAAGTAAGTGGAAGCAGGGGATTGAGTTGCGGCAGCTATCAGTGCAATGGATACAAGTGGAGTAGCATGATGCCTTCAAAGGCTTTGCGACCAGTCAGCAGGGTAGTCAGTCAATTCTGATGCTTCCTCAGTTAGTTTTGACGATTTTGGGGCTTGCCTGTGCTGCTGTGGGTGTCAAACTGGAATTTCTCCAATTTCCAAACTTTCTTGCAACATAGCAAACCCCATACCATTCCTTTGTCTCAAGCAGCATGAGGGTTACCACCAGTGCTGACTGTGACGAAGTTCAACCGTCCTAGCCCCAGGTGCAACTCAACAATAAATGATGCAGACTGTGGACCAGTAATCAAGGAACCCGTTGATGAGGTAGTGGTGCAGGCATTGCAAGTACAAATGTTGCATCTTCATTTGTGGTGCCTTACGTCATGAGGTGGCTTACGACAAAATGTTGAGCTGTGGTCGCAATCTGGACGTTTCCGTCGTCCATACGCAGGCGCCGACTTTTTCTGCGAGTAGCAACAGTACGGCGCGTGCAGAGGTCCAACAGTTTTCGCCTCTTATCTCCACCTCTTCCTGCCCTACTGCTGCTTCCCCAGAGTTTACCCATCCTCCAACATTCTGCGAAATTCGTGTTTCACGTTGATTCCATAATTTCACCACAATCCTTGCAGTTGCCAGATGCGAACAATTGAACAATCGTGACTTTCTTGGCACATTCTCGACCCTTGGTTCCATTTCCTCCGGGTGCCCCGAACCGCCGGCCCACATTTGTTGGCGCCAGCGAATCCGGCAACGTTTAATCAGCCGATCTCGCGGCGCATTGGCAGACGATCCAAAAGCATGACTAAATCGCCCCACCCGCCCCCCAGCCCCCGCCCACCCACATTCTCTCGCGCAGGGCAGCCTCTGCCGGCTTCTCCACGGGCTTGCCCTCGTCTCGCGGCAGCAGCCTCCTCAGCTCCTCGCTGAAATGCTCCTCCTGCGGCCGCACCCCAAAGCAAGCCTCACCGGAGATGTCGGCAACAAAACGCCCTGGCGATCGTCGACCCGCTTTTTCTGTTGTTTTTGCCACTCCAGAGTCTCCGCGGCTGTTTACAAGTCGCGTTTGAAGGGCTATGGCGGTCACAGGTCAGCTTCCGCACCTCGACGTCCTTTCTGAAGGCCTCGGCGTCGGTGTAGGGTTTTCCCTCCGCGCCCCACCGCCAGATCTTCCACGTGGGATCCGTGGCGATGCGCTGCAGGCCCGTCGCCAGGATCTCCGCCACGCGCGGCTCCAGGCGACCCTGCGGCGTCTGCGGGTCGCTGGCGATGCCCTTGGCCGCTGCGGGCACACACCACGCGGCGAGTGTCACCACCTGGGGACTTGCGATTAAGTCTTCGAAAGCCACCCGTGGGTATTTTTGTGCAATAGGGCCATTGTCACTTCTAGGCATGTCTTTGAAAGCCACCCGTAGGAAACTTATGCTTGTGTTTCAAGTCCTGAACACCTCTCCGAAAGCCACCCGTTGGAAACGCGCGTTTACGCTTCACTTCATTGCCGCCACCGTACACAATACACACCGGTGGGGCGTCGACGCTGCTTTGGACCCCCGCCCGTTGGTGGGGGTTGGCTTGCACGCTGATGCGCTCTCTGGCCATTCCTTGCCATTCACAAGACTGTCAACCGCCAATGGCGATGCTCGGGCAACCACAGGCGACACCCCGCCCTATCAGCGGACGTCCTGCCCGACCGAAGCGCACGCACACGTCGGCCAGGGCGACCTAACCGGCTCGATCACAGTTCAATCGCAATGTTTTCAAGTCATTCTGTTTTTGCGAGGCGCCACTCACCGAGCGCCTTGGCCCTCTCGGCGTGCGCCTCCGCCCTGGCCCGGACATCCTCGAGGCTCACCGTCAGCAGCTTCACGCGCTCCTCTTGCGACAGCGTCTCCCAGAAGGGCCGGATGAACGACACGCGATCGTGGGGGCTCTGCGGCGGCGCCTCTTCCGCCTGCGGGAAGCAAACGGCAGGGGGGCATCGAGCCATCAGCGGCGGACGTCCTTGGTGCCATTTTCCGCCGACCAACTTCCCGCTTTGCGCGGATAAATTTCGGCACCGGCCCATTCAGGGGAGTGGAAGGGGTATGCGAGTTTGCTGCGAAAGCAATTGCCGTCGGAAAGTTTGTTGCGAAAGGGACGGTGGGGATGCCTGCGGGGCGTCGCGCGACCGCGCCGGTTCGCGACGCGACGTGGCCCCTTGCAAGGCGCCGCCTGAGCCACACCCTGGCGGCTCATTTTCGCGGGGGCGGGAGACTCCACCCATGCACGATCGAAGGGACAATCGAGCGTCAAGGGGCCAGAAAGGTTCAGGGAAAGGAGTTGGGGCCATTGGCTCACCTTCTGGGGCGTGCGCGGGGATCCGCGCCTGCCCTTGGCTCCCGCCCCGGCGCCCTTCTTCTTGCCGCCCGCCTTGGAGCGCTTGGCGGCCATGACGAGCGTCAGGCGACCGGTCCGCGACGACCACAACCACAGGCCTGCGCCAGGCAGCCATCGTCACAGATTCAAACCCCTCCCTCCCCTGGTCAATGCCTCACATGTGCAGAACACCGCTCCCCCCGTCCACGCGAGGAGGCCAATCAAAACTGGGGCCCAAACGCGCCATGGGCATCAACGACGACCTTGACCGATCAGGACTGCAAAAGGCGCATCGGCTGGAAGCCATGCCGTCGCGATGGTGGTCGAAACGCTGTAGAAACGACAAACGCCATCAAGCACCGCCCCACTGCCGCCAGTCGCGATCAACACACCGCGCAAACCAGCGCGCGCAGGACGGCTTTCCAGGGCACCCACTGCCCCGCCCGCCCCGTTTGTTCGATTGATTGAATAATCGATTGCCGACCGGAGGCCCAGAGGCTTGGCGCGGCCTTGCGCGGCTCGCCGCCAGTGTGCTGCACACCGAGTGCCCGGTGCGGTGGCCCGCCGCCAGTCCACAGTACATTCCAACACAGCGGGGCCAACCGCCGCTCCGCCATCAACCGGCGCCGAGCGTCAGCGGCAAACTGGCGCCCGGCCGCCCTCCAGAGACCCGTCCCGCAACCCGGGACCCTGCGGCGTTACGCGGCGCCGCGCAACGCGGCCTCCGGGCCGACGTGCGCCACCTCCGCCGCCGATCACGCCCCAGCACATCCCAAGAAAAAGTCATGCCAAGAGCTGCTGGATCCACTTCCACGCCTTGCAAGAGCCCTCCCACGCCGCCAATGTCCCCGAAAATGATCCAGAAAGCTCCGACCCAGGCCAATTTCCCAATGCCAACCAAGCCGCCACCCCCGCGGTGGGTCGCTGCCGTTGGCCCGCGCCCCCGCCTGCCGCCATTGCGCCACCCGTCGATCCACGACCAATGCCCCCTTAACGGCGCCAATCGGCGCATTTCCCCGAACACGACCCAGCATGAACCACACGCCCGCGTCCAGCCCACCCGCCCACAACCCCATCCGCCACGTATCAACTTCCGCAAACACAAATTCCCCCAACGCCCATCCTACCCTCCCCTGGTCTCCTGCCCAGCCCCTCCTGGCCACACCGTAACGGCGCGGAGCGCAGCGGCTGCACGCGCCATGGGCGCACCTTTCCCTCAGATATTTCTGAAGCAAGGCGGGTGGGTCCCGTCCCTGGCCACGCGCCGCCGCCCCCGAGCGCCCCGGGAGCAGCCCACCCCAGCAGGCGGCCGCAGATCGGGTTGGGCGGAGGCGCGCCGAGAAAGTACGGACCAGTTGTGTGGCGGCCAGATCCATAAACATGCCCGGCCACTCGTCATGGCGTTACCCGTCACGCGTGTTGGTGCCGTCAGCGTGACCTGGACGCGATCGCCCCGCCGTCGAATCCCAGCGGCCCTGACGCAGGGTGGACCGCCCCGGCCACATCTTTGGGCCTTTGGGCAACTCCAGCCCGTAACTTTTGCCAAAAGCGCGTTCGTCGAATTGTGGCGCGTTAAGGGGAGCGGCCCAAAAAGGCGACCTCACAGAGGGCGGTTTCCACATGCGGTTTGGGATACGGACCAAAGGGAGGTCACTCCCACCGTAACCTGTTGGGATATGTTAGCTCGGGGGGTGTCAGTCTGCACGCATCCCCGGTTGTGGCATAACCCACTGACGTGCAAGGCGGTGTGTGTTGGACTGTCCCTTCGCAATGGATAGTTGATGGACACCGAAGTCAAAAATGGCCGGTGAGAGTTGGAGTACAAGTCAGTCAATACTTCTTTTGCGACCGCGAACCACCCTGCCCTCCAAGAGTGCCAAGCAACTCCTTCTGACAGCGGGTTACTCTTTTTGCACCCGTGCTGCTCTTGACTGCCACAAATCTTCCAGAATTGTTCTTTTCTGTGGCGGTGCCAGTCCACATTACCATAGTAACGGCTTTGGCATTGAAAATTCATCGTCGCTTTCAAGGCCTATACTCCACGGCATTCTGCCCAATCAGCTTCACCGAATTCCTTCTCGCTGGGCATCGAGAGCAGAATGGATGGAATCGAAGTTGCCCAACCATCGTGTGCAGCACTTGTGTTACTCGTTTCAAAAAATCTTGGGTGTCATTTTTAGCTCCCTCGCCTCAGCGTCCTCCAGAATTTTTGCTGCCATTCATTGCCTTTCATTGCACCTCTTCTCAGCGGCAGCTCTTTTCCCAATAGCGCCGAACAGCAGTGCTGGTTGTGACCAATAAGGGAGCTCATGGCCACCTCGTCCACTTGAGTTGTACTTCAGCAAATAATATTCATTGATGACCACCAGCAACCTGTGTTGCACATATGCATAAACGTGTGCAACACAGGTCATTGGTCTCTTGTGGCCATCAATCGTGTTTGGTGCTGCGAAATCTGCCCAAGTTTGGGTTGTTTAGAGAGTTGAAAGTTCTCAAACGCATGGGAACGTATACGGCCTATGCGCGATTTTGAAAACACCCAGATTCACCTACACGTCTTGAAAACAGAATGCTCCCCTCCTCTATTCCCCGTCACTGGTACTCGCTAGTAGTGTGCTGTTGTCTCAGCCCAACATCTGGCGAAAACTCTTGCTCTGGTGTACAGCCATATCTAATCGACCTTACGATTTTGAAACCAGTAAATTCTGTGTATTTTGGCTGCAATAGCTATTCTCATTGAAGTTATCATGAAATCCTGATTTTTTTCAATCACAATGAGGAGCTTAAGGCTGCCCCATTGACACCGTATGCCGTTGAGTATTTCCTGACTGCCCTCAGATGCATTCGGAATCTGGCAAACATACAACAGGTCAGTATTGCTCAAACTTTGAGCCTCAAAGGCCTCGTCTACTGTGGGTCAGTCTGCCAGAAGTCAATCGAATGCATCCACTCGTGTAGTGCAGAAAGAACAAGCGCTGGAGATGGCGAGTCACCGAGGGCGGTAATTATCTAAAGCAGGGCTGCGCAGAGGCTGTTATCTTCGTCCATGGGTCCTAAAAAGGATGCGAAGAAAGATGGAAAGAAAGACGAGCTCAGTCCGGAGTGAGTGGAGAAGTTAATGCACCACACCATTCTCGTATTTTAGGAATTCTTATTCCACAGTTGCCCAAATTTGAACTGGTTTTCAGGAATAACAGTCTCCAAGTTCTGCGTGGAAATTGCAGAGTTCGAGTGTAGAATCATTGCAGCATAGTGCAGTACTTTAATTGAGCGGTTCGCTGCCTTGCATTCCTTGATGATCCTCTTCTTCCTTCGCCAATTTCGCCTGCTTTGAGAAAGATGCCTCGCAGTTCGCTGCGAATCAGTTGGAAATGCACGCTTAGATAAAGCAATCGCCTTTTTGAAGGGAGAAGCTGGAAGCCGAGCTGAAGCTGGTGGAAACAGAGAAGGCCGACCTGGGCATTGAATGCTCATTCCTGAAAGACAAATTGAAGCAGGCGAGAGAGGAAAAAGATGCGCTGAAGCAGGACGTGGAGCACGCCAAGACACGGTTGTCTAAGGCCAAGCAGGATTATGTGAGTCCAAAAGAGCAGTCCCATCTAGAAATGCAGAAGATCTTGCTGTGGATACACATTGACATCGTGGGACGCAAAGGGAAGTTGCAGCAATGCCTACATGGCAACCGAGATGGAATTGGCACTTAGAATTGTCAGCATTGGCGTATGACGTCAGCATTGAGGCAACGTTTCGAATAATTCGGCGGCGACGATTGTATCAGGTGACTAGCTGCATCAATGATGGTCAAAGGTGCAGCTGGTGCGAAAATTTTCGGCTGCCGAAACAGAGAGCAGCGATAGGCAGTGGATAGAACGCGGCAAATTTTGAACAGCAGAATTTGTCGCTTCATGGATTTATATGATATTGCAAAAGCGCAGCTTGCCTTTAAAGAGACCAATTTGTTCTGTATGGAAATGCGCGGTTGGCACAATACAAAAAAAAATAGAAAACCTGCTGCTCTTTTACAATGTTTCCCTGGGCTCTACTTAGCATATGCTGAAAATTGCCGATGCATCGGCCAATCTACTTTGCCAGTTTCTAATAAATTTTGAAAGGTGTGCTTCGGAACATTCTATGGATTTGGGAACGCAGTTTTTTGCAATGTTGAGTTCAAAGCTCAAGAACACCACATATTGAGGAACTGGGTGTTTGCTTTGATGTTAAGTACATGGCTTTTATTTCGGGTCGTCCTAACAGGAGCACCGCGTTTCATTCGGTTCTTCGGAACCGGATCGTCGCCCAAAGAAGGATGTTCTTCTGCACGTCGAGCAAACTTGCTGCAGAAGTTGGTTGCTTGTGGGTTGCTTACTCACCACGATTACTGTAGCATGCACAGCAAACCGGATTGAGTCGCGCAGCCGACACCTCTTTTCAATGCACTATCACCTGTTGCTGTCTCAACAAATTTGTGCCTCAGGCAGACATTCTCCAGCACAGGGCCTCCCAAATAAAGGTTGCTGAAATCAAGCTGGCCCAGCTCCTCAAAAAGGGCGAAGAATTGGAACGCGACCTTTCCAGCAGGAATTTGAGGGTCGCAGATCTGGAGGTATATACACCATTAAACTACATCTGGAGACATGCAATTATTGTGAGATGGACGTGCGCTGCTCGTTTCCTCATGTTGAAAAATCTCAGAGCGGATTGTGGTATTGCTGCTGGACGATGGCAACGCAGGACGTAGAGTCAACGTTCAGAGAAGATCTGCAAATTCTGAGAGCGGTCGACAAGCGACGCGGCACCATTATCCAAGCGGCGCGCAATAATTCTATTCCTTCGAAGTATATCAATGCTGCAGGTAGTCCATAGTACGGCATGTATCACTGTGTGAAATGTAATTCCGCGCAAGCAGAAGTCACATCGCTGACGCAGCATTTACAGAAATTCGAGAAATTGGGAGCATCTACGCGCATTTGGTGCTATTTCGGCAGTAATTACATGTCCTTATTCCGCCTGGTGCATCCAATGAACTAAACGGAGGGAAATGAACAGGAATTGACAACAAGCAACGAAGGGTGCAT